TAATTAAAATTTAAGCGAATAATAACTCCGGCGTATTCTACTAAATCCGTATCTTCGCGAGATCGCAGAATATCCGGAAAACTTTCCTCCGAAATGAAAATGATATGAAAGTATTTATTTTTGTATTTTTTTTTTTTTTTTTTTTTTTTTTTTTTTACCGTTGGTTAATCGTATCGCGTATTTTTACCCCGTCTCTTAATCTATACGCCGGGGGGAAGAATGAATAATTTTACACGCGTCATATTGTTGCAGGAATTATAATCGGATCGTTATGCGTGCGTCCGTTTTGACGGTAATCCGCTATACGGTAATCTATAAAGCATATATTGATATTATTTTGTTCGCGTTGTACACGGCGGATAAGTGTAGGACGAGTATATTACATTTTATTATTATTATTTTTTTTTTTTTTTCGATCATAGAGAGAGACAAAAAAAAAAATAAAAATAAAAAATCCCGATGACACATTGATTCCGAATCGGCAAAACTCGCAAAACTCGACTCTATTGTTGGTGTATTTTCATAGTTATGTCTGTACATTAAATGACGCGACTGCGGTCTGCCCATAATTACGGGTGTTAAATTTTTTTATTTTTTCACAAGTCGTATCGCGCCGTAATCGTCTGTTTATCGAAGCTGAAATTTCAAAAATAAAACCAACAATATCATACACACAAAATAATATACATTTCAATTCAGGAACGAGAAATTTCGACGTGCGCTCGCGGAGTGGGATTTTCATCGGTCGTTTTACGCGCGGCGCTATTTTTCTTCATTTTTCACGCTTAGATGACAAATATTCACCGTGCGGTCCGTATAATATGAGTTTATATTAACGGTGTGACCGCGACACGATACTCAGGAGACGTTTTTGAGCCGGCTAGCCGTAAACACGGTTTAGCACTTAGTACGAAAACCCGGCATTTCTCATGTCCCATTGGAACCCGTTGAAACGAATTATGTCTGTAAACACGAGCTTCGGGGGAGAGGGGGGGGGGTGGAGGGTAAAGTCGGGAGGGGGGTAAAATGTCCTCCTAGTCATGTCGCGTTGCCGTCTAGAGTAAACATTATCAACTCCATCGTTCAACCCTTTTGCCCCTTAAAAGTACCGTTTTAATGACTTTTTACTTTAGAGTCGATCTTTCGTTAATGTCTACCTCTGCTTACCTATATGCGTGCGCCACACAATATATACATATATGTATGCGTATTGTACCTACATAAAACGCAAATAATTGCGCGGGAGATAAAACGGCTTAAAAACCGTTTTCCGATTTCGTATACGTTACAAAGTTCGAAAAATATTTATAGGCGGAGGCGCGTCCTGTACACACGCATATGCATAATATTATAACGGAGTGGAGACTGTATATTGTGCGGAATTAATAATTTGACATCATATTATTATCGTTCTTAACGACAAAATTACGTGATTTTCCGCAATGTATTTTATTTGTTCTCGCGCGGGGTAGCTGCAGCGGGTACCTATGTAACAATACGATTATACACAGGTACCTAAAAGTTACGTTTTATAGTTTACATTATGGAAACCGTCGTATAATATTCTGTTTTACGGCACACGGTAATGACAACGTACGAAACGCGAACGGAACGCATTGTGCCTGCGCGAAATTCGAATGCACTAAGCCGAAACGCCGGTAAGCGACACTATTTTTTTTTTTTCGAAAGCGACATTTTTATATTATTATTGTCGCGGCGTAAACGCCAGAACGGACGGATCGGTCGCACTGAAAAATCGTACCGATATCATTAACGTACGGCGTTTTATCGGATCAATTAGTAAACTTTTGTAGAGCGCGCGGTTTGTATTGCTATTTTCCGGCGATTATTTTGTATTTTTTTCCCTCGAAATAGACAGTCCGCAGTACCGGCAATATTAAAAAAACAATAATACAAATCGAAACCGGCTGCAACGTGGGTCACTCGTTTCTCACACTCGTGCGGAGAGCACTGTAGTTTAAATCCGTTAAGATCGATAATTTCACTTTGAAGGTCCTTGTCAGATCCCCCGGGAAAATCACCTACGTTAAAACAACATTGTTTATATAGTTTCATACAATTCGGTCGCCAAATTCGGCAAAGTCGGTAGACAAACCGAATATTCGGGTAGATAGTGCAGGGGTTCAAATTCGTATCATAAATTTACATAATATTTCAACGGCCTTGAAATTTGGACAGGTCGGTCCCGGGTCTGGCAGCATAATATCTGCAACAGCAATACGATGCTAATTCTCGCTGACCTTAATATTCGCGCGGGTGTAATTTCTCGTATAAATACATTATGTGACAGGGTATAAATCCATATATTATTTTGTAGCATTTATTAAAAAAAATAGACGGACATACTTCGATGGTGGGTGAGCCACTGTTGCAGGCAAGATGTTGGAAAGGTAGAGAGGAAATTTAATACGTATCTGTACGAAAGATTAACCATTGCTGACGAAAAACTATTCTGAGCGGAGTTCGGTCAATAGTGTGGCGTTTTTCACAATACATATATGTCGCATTATAGTAAAATAATTATATGCATTTGATTTCTTCTTTAATAATATTGTAACTATTTTTTCCCGGTTTTTACCATTTATTGGTATAATTTCTGAGAAAATCAAAAAAAAATTACATGCCCAAAGTATCACCCCAGTCGGATTTCCTTTCAGAAAAAATGATAAAAAACTTGATACTTCGGAGCAAGGTTTTCGGTAGAATTTTTGTACAAAAAATATGCATCGTTGTAAAACCAATACATTCTTCGCCACACTCAGAATCTAAAACGACTGAATCAAACGTGTTCAATTATTAATATTTAAAATCGTACATAATATCAATAAGTTTTTAGTGTTTTTTTTTTTTTTTAATGGAATTTTTGACGTTTAGATATTTAGGCAAATTGTTGGGAAATTATCGTAGTTGCTCGGTTGATTCTTTAGAAAAAATAAAATGATTTTTCGTCATAAAGCCAGGGAAAATATCGACCAAAAGTGTGAACCGCGTAATATTCAAAAGCCCGCGATGTAACGGTGTACGTTGCACTTGAACCGACATTCTGTGTACGGGCAGAAAAATGTACAATTCCTATTTCAAATATCTCAGGACTACGGTAACTTTAAATTACGAAGTTTAAATCTCATATAATATGATTTCGGAGGAAACCCCGTCCGATTGGATTTTTTCGATGTAAAGCGTTACAGGGATACACTGGCACACGGTAATAATAATAAGCAAGTGTATTACAAGCCGATTGAACGATAGTCCGCCAACCGATAGAGTTTTTGACTGAAAAAACCGATGAAATTTCTCGGGCATTGGGATTTTTCAAGGTTTTTTTTTTCTTGTTTATCACGCTCATTAATTTAATGAATTTTTTTCTCAGCGAGAATGTTTTATTACACGATACAACCAACGTAATTGTCTACGAATGTTGTAAGTGAATTTGATTATGATTTTATGTTTATAATCGATTGATGGTGATTTAAACGTCACGTGATCGAATGGTTTTCGAATGAAAAAAACCAGTATTCGAATTGAATGATATCGTTTCTCTCGACTCGATCTTTGGTCATCCCACCGGGCCACCGGTATATTATGTGTGTATCCGAATTTTTCGTCGACTGCGGCGCTCGCGATTCGATAATTTCCCAAAAGGCCTCCCAAAGCAACCGCCGCCGACGCCAAAAGACCTTCCCTCCGACCTTTCCATCTATATCTATACATGCGGTATACATATACATTCTACACAGACCCCGTACGAGAACTTCATTCTACTCCTCCCCCCCCCCTATCCTCAAAGCGGCGTTTCCTTCTCATTCGTATTCACCGCACACACGTGTCACCCGAACTCCACCGCGTCGTCCCCTCGTCTGAGTTCGATTTGTACAACCCGTGTGCGTATACGTACAAAATACATACACATACATACATATTGTATATAATATACAACAATAATATGCACTACACGATAGTAGTCGAACGTAAACACGCGCACGCACATAATATTATTTGGATACGCGCAACACGCCCGAAACCACCCCGAAATTAACATGCATATTGAAAACTACTCGGGCCGTCCTACCAACTCCGCCGTCGCTGCCGGTTCGGGTCCTTTGACGTCCGAAGATACAGAGTAAAGTCGTTCACGGACTGTAATCTTCTTTTTTTCCACAACTCCCTCGCCTCCTCCCCCCTCCCCACTTCCGCCCAATTTATCTGGCGTACAATTATTTGCATTTAAACCGTTTTATTTGCGCGGAGGGAAGACAATGTTTCCTTCCAGTCGCCGAAACGCCCGAGCTTCGTGCCGGCGTCGCCGTCGTCGATTAGAAATGTGCGTTTAATCCGTTCCATATAATAATTAGTTTTGTCGCCGAAAAACAAAACCACCCCTAAAATGCAGCGTTTCAAACTGCAATAACCGTAAAACACGAGAAAGTAGAATCTTTCGAATTGATAGGGGAATCCTATTAGAGCATTGTCTAAAGCACTTTCTCAACCAAAATAAAAAAAAAAAAAAACAATGTTCAGGAACCGTTTTTCGTTTCACTCACAAACATTGTGTCCCCGGTGTCATAACTAAAATTGCGTTTCATCAGTTGTAAATTACAATATCTTAATGTAACGAAATCGTCTCCGTGTATAAAATATTAGTACGACATTATGTAATAATAATATAATACGAACGAACCGTTTTGCGTTTTAAACATTTATAAATCTATTGGCGCAATGCTAACCGAATGTTTTCCCTCTCATGCGCGTCTTCCAATCGGAGTCGGCTGGAGTTTGCATCACTCTTTGTCGCGTTAAAAACCATACCTCATTGCCGGTCTTCTTTTGCTCCGCCTTCTACACTCGTTCATACCAAAATCTGCTCTTACTGCAGCCTTCGACTTGGATATTCTCACCGCCTCAGTCCATTCTCTATCGGCTATCGAAACACCGCCTGCGGTACCCCTGTAAAATTCCGCAATTCCTTAGACGGTCGTCTTTTGTACCATCTCGTTCATCCAATAATTTTCGTCTCTGCTGCGCTCGTCTTCCGCTCCATTTCTCCGTCTACCGCCCGACATTTCGCATCGCCGGTTTCCCCGGCGCAGTTGTGTAAAATTTACCTATCGGCCTCGTCGGTATTCCATATTATCGCGCGCAGTACCCTTGACGCCGCTCGTCCGAACACGCTTTTTCACCGTGTTTCTCGTCAAATCTACAGTGCTCTTTTTCCAAAACACGATTTATTATCATCGTCATTATAAACCCGTACCGCGAAAACGAATTCCGTATAAATATCGAAAATTCCGTTTTAAATTAAACTTTAAAAACAACTCGGTACGGGACGAAATCCCGCGCGATTATCTACGTACCAGAACCGTAGCCCTCCGTCTACCCGTAATCCGGCGTATTAACATTATTGCGGTGTAGAATTTCCAGTCGTGTGCGACTCTGCCGCGTGTTATTCAGACGGAATGCACAATATACACATTAATAATAATATTACACTCGGGCTTTGGGAAAAATAATTGTTTCTCGCGGATGCGCTCGGGACGAGGATTACCGGACGAAAGCTCGCGTACTGTCTTTTGATCGCGATTTCCTACTTTTATTTTTTTTTTGTTACACTCGAGTTACACGCATTTTCCGCGGCCGCATCTGCAGTCTGCCCAGAAATATCCTATACGGAGGCTCCGGTTCGTCTGTTTATTTTCGGTCGAAAAACAATACTCGTTCCAACACCGCCGATATAGATTTGTCGAATTACTCGCCCGATTTATCGATCACGTTATTACTGTTTTTTTTCCAAATTTTGTTTGCCATATTTATAATATTGTGAAATCGATGGGTCAAAACAAATTGCAAAAACTGAACCGAACTTAATAACCGCGCAATGTCGGCCGGTGTGATCTTTAACGTTCGACCGCGTGTTCAGTACGTTTCCTCACCGATAATTTTCCATTTTTCTCTCGTTATATTTCCACGCGTTTTATTAAACAATATTATTACGTTACGTATCATACGTCTGTATATTATCACGTGTCACTACGACGCGCGTACGTTATAAATATAAAATTATTTTTTAATTATCATTGTGTTTGGGGGAGCGGTACACGTTTCCAATCGGTGGCGGCCACCGGGAAATCGACTCGATTTCATATTATGAACGCAATGGTTTTAAAATCCAAAATCCTGATTAACTTACGTTTGTTCATCAACGTGCATACTAATATCACAGCATTACGTATCGGATTGTAATATTTGCACGGTCTATTTCGAATGTCAACAACCGCGGTGGACGATAACATACATTTATTACACCGTTTTTGAGTAGTAAATATCAAATTATTGTTGTTTGCATTTGCCGCGGAATCGGTGATATATAATTTAACGCGTTTAGATTACCGCGCAAACACTATGTTATAATAGCGTTCCGCTTTTTTTTTTTTTTTTTTTTTTTATTCGAATTTCCCCCGAAAATAGAGATAATTGCACTGTATTGTGACTGTTCTGTACGCGTATTTTGCACGCTTTAGCGACTTCCTTAGGTTCAAATGAAACTCATCACGGCCGAGAGTCGGAAATTCGTTTTACTGGCGTATTGAAGTGATAAAAGTTTTGGTTGAATTTCAACATAAATTTAACTGTGTCGTTGCGGGTGAACGGTGTGTGCTTTATTTTTAACTTTGCACACCTCTTAATACTCCTTCCGCTCTTGAACGAAGTCGGGTGATAACATTTTTCACAGGGAAGCGATGTGGTAGACCATAAAATAACGCAAGGGGAGGTAATAATGGGCGCGATCAACGGACGTCTAGTGAGTACAAATCATAAATAAATACGAGTTTGATTAAATTACCCAAGTATATTGCATAATATTATTATGAGCGCCTCTAACAACCATAAATATTTTAGATAAATTTTATAAGAAAAAAAACGAAATATTGTAACGGCAACAAGTCGACCAAGGGGGAAAACTCGACTGTAATGACGGAATTCTGCTTCTCACGGGTGTTTATTTTTTTTTACTGTCGTTTACATCGAGACACGAAATACACGTTTTCATAATATTATTCAATGGTTTCCGAAAGTCATTTGTCTGCTTTGTACAGACGACTTTTTCCGCTTGTCTAATAACTTACAACAATTGACTTTGGTCTTTTTTTCGAAAACTTCTTCGGCGTGTAAATAGGACAAATGGCTTTTTTGCGACCGTTATACTTTGAATAAACTAAATGAATACTTATAACATTATGCAATTTACAGTTATTTATTGGTTATTTGTAAACGTTATTTAATTTTTTTTTTTTTTTTTTTTTTGCAATTTTCCAAGACAATGAGGGTTGTCAACATTTTCCCCTAATTATATAAATTTGTCCGTTTGAAAAAAATAGCTTTTTTTTAAATTTTTTTAGAACTGATGATTTTTTTTTAAAAATTTACCTAGTTTAAACAGATCAGTTTTGGCGTGAATTCAAATGTGTCTTACCAAATATCAGGTATACTAAGGTACCGTACTGATAAGGAAGTTTTAATAACATTATCAATCTGAGATACATAATAAGGCGTGATTTCAGTAACGCAATAAATTAAAAACTGAGTATGACACATTTGATTCCCGCTAATGCCAATCGTTTTAAATACTTTTCATTTTATTGATTTTTAAATTAAATTTGTGAAAAATTAAAAATTCAGAATTTCATTACAATAAGATTCGTGGATTTAATCAAAAAAATATTTTTAAATATGTAATGTAATTGAACTACTCAAACGTTTGTTCGCATTATAAGACGAAAAAGAAAATTCAATTGCCATTACAATTTGTCCGATTCACGAGCAATAATTAATTTTACTATATCACCAATTAAGTGAAATTCAGATACCTTCGATGTAATATTTTTATAATAAAATCGATTCGATTTGTTTAGAAAATCGAAAACATTTCCCGATGTAAAGGTACGTCGTACGAGACTTATTGAACGGGAAATCTCTCTAAGTTTAAAAAAAAAATAGAACGTCTACTGTAGCCTAATCTAAGGTTAGCCACTAAATTCGCATTACGGTTAGGCCATGAAAAAACGCGTTGACAACACGTGCCGTAAAATAAACGTGGTTTTCGGGGGATACGAGTGCGGGCGGTAGGGCGTCGATGACGAAAAACAAATAAGTTTATAGGTATACAGGGTGATTTTTTTTCTCCCTACGAGACGCCATCATTATCTCGGAAAATGCATTTGATTTTATCGCAATTATCTTGAGAAACGTATACATATAAGACAATAATTCCACACAGTTGTGTAGTTCTCAAATGTTTAAGTTAGCTTTATTTTTGTCGCCCTTATATTGTTATGTTTGGGAATGATACCGACTAATCGACGTTTGTTTTTTTTTTTTTATCAATATACTAGCTGAAATAAATATTAAAATGAAAAGCCGAAATCGCGTCGTGCACGAGATAAAATATGCGTGTAACTAAATGCCAAAAACTAAGAAATAAAAACCATAAATTTCACACACATTTCGGCACGGTCGTTCCGCGATAATATCGCCCGCCAAACGGATACAATTAGTTAACCGTGTTATCCGTTATCCGTGTATTTTTTTTTAAAAAAAAAAAACTTCATCTTCGGCCACCGCCATAGCGGTGGAATTCATCATTTCGCTAAACAAAAATTGATTTATGCAATTAGTTCTCGTCTGCAGACGGGCCGCGCCGCGACGATGGCGCGATCGCGCGTTTCCCTGAAGTTTTGATTGACGAAACGAAACTATATACAAATAATGATAATGATAACCCGCGGCGTTCCGGCAAACTTTTCCGCAGTTTTCAATTATCAAAACCTACCCGGCTTGCGTATTATCAATTATTATTGTTTAGTCCGAGTGTTGTTGTCGCTCCGGTGTATGTATGACGTGTTACGCTGCGATGGATTAGCGAACAAGCGGATCCGGGGTTTCCCATTTGAATTTCCCTATTCACGCGTTCAATTAGACGATATTTATTACAATTACCGTAGTTTTCGATGACGGCGCGTATATCGTTGTAAACTTACAGCCGTCCGTCCACGCGGTTACATAATACCATACGAGTATCGCTATGAAACCCGGCCGAATCAAATGCGTACGCCCACGCGCCGTGATAACGAGAACAACACCGATGCACTCTGTAACATTGGAATTATCTAATTGTTGACGTACGGCGCGAGTCCCGGCGTGAGAACGGGAAAACAAGCCGTTCGGCAAATTCGAACCGAGACCCGGGCCGGGTCGCGCAAATGTTCTCCAGTGGTTTACGAATCCGTAAATGACACCGGGCACCGCTAGAACGTCCGTTCATGCTAACGGCTCTGTAACCTGTCGCTTACGGGACCTGCAATTTACGGGTCCGGTTTTGTCCGACGTATTTTATTATGGCGATGAGAAATATAATTTCGATAATGCGTATTGTACAGTGATAAATATTTGTTCATAACGGGATTAGTTCGAATATTGTTTTGAAATGTTTATCAATTATTATTTGACACTAGATAACGCAATCAAATATGTTTACAATTATTAGATAACATTAACCATTAACCGACGGGTAAATCGTTTGTATAAATACGAGGCGAAGACACGGTGTAGTTTTTCTAACAGTTTTAGATTTCTGATAACAATTAAACTGTTAATGTCTCGGATTATTCAACGACTCGGATGTCTTTCCCGTTCGCCGTGAGATTCGACGTTAAGATTGTATATACCGTATCCATATACTCAAATCTGTGTTTAAAAGGAGATTCGAAAAAAAATGCTAATCGAAAGTAAAAAGCGTTTAATGAAAACAATGTTGAAATCAAACATGATATGGACAGACATCAAATTCACTAAGTACCCTCCGTGAAAATCGCCGGTTCGTGATGAACAGATAGTTTTGTATAAAGAGTAGTTGGACGATAATTGTCACCTGACGGTACCGAACGATAACGAGACAAAATAGTATAACACCGTGCAGGCACGTGCAGTTAAATCAAAAACCTTCATCCAGATTAAAACGGTGGTCATAACCGGATCGATAAACGAAAAGCCTAATACGACGATAATCCGATAAAACCAATATCGATATTCATAATCTAATTTTATTGTTTTGGCAAATGCAGAATTTTTTTTTAAATCGGATTTTTCGAAAACACTTCGGTTCGCCTCCGGGCGAACGGCGTACGGTGGCGTGG